ATTGGGTCCACAGCCCTTGGAGCATCCCGGTGGCCTCCTCTGGATTCGCTCCAACCCGTCTGTGTCCACATGCTGATGCTGGGGGTCCCAGAGCTGAACACAGACGTGCAGGTGGAGCACTCACGACTGACCTATTCATGCACCAGCCACCCTGACAGCAAACCAGGCCGGTTCTGCTCCTGTGCAGCCGGCAGCACAGGGGATTTTCACAAAGCACCCTGGCGAGCGAGGGCTCGCAAGCGCCGTGGGTGATGTCACCAAAGGCATTCTGCTCACATGCAGGAGGCAGCTTTGTGGAGGAGAAAACCCCTGGGCTGCCCCAGACCCATCCCAGGTGCTGCAGAGCCCAAAGGGAGGAGTCAGCGCAAGACAAACCCTGGGGCCTGGGGACGCAGGAGCCAGTGCCCCCCAGCAGGTTTTTCTCCCAGAATGGTCCCTAAGCAAACCCACTATTTACTCTCTTCACTCTGTTTTGTACCTTTCCTGTAAGCCACATCCACCAGAGTCCAGACAGACCAACTCTCGCCATTCCACATGTTCTTGCCTGTGGATGAGCACACAGGCCCCAGTGAAAAGAGCGTGGATGGGTCCCTGGAAGAAACCCTTCCCTGGCTCCAAGCAGTCTGCTACGAGGGCTGATCATTGGCATAGATTTGGTTGGTTGGTGGGTTTTTTTAATTGAAAAAGTAACAGAGAAGAGGGAAAAATTGGCCAGAAAGCAGCAGGAAAGACTTGTATGGAAGAAGCATTAAGGATCCCAGGCTGCAGGGACCTCCAGCAGCCTCCTGCAAAGCAGGGTCAGCTACAGAGAAAGGCCATGGCAGAAGCAGCCAGTTAACCTGCCAGACACCTGCACAGAAACCAGAAGGAAGAAGGAGATGGTGGATCCCAAGGAAAGGTGCTGCGACGGAGCCCACGCCAGCATTGCTGGCACACGGTCCCTCCCCATCCACTGCCAAGGCAACATGGCAACGTCCAAGCCCGCTCTGCTTCAGCTCCTGCCCCAGAGCTCTGCTTCTGGGAAGCCGGTCACCTCTCCCACCTCGCTGGAGGGCTGCACGCCCTGCGTGAACGCTAGTTTGTACCTCAATCGGATGCGACCCTAAGAGAAAGGAACAGAGAGAGGGGTACATCACGGTTGCAGATTCTTGGCCCCCCCCCTCTGCCTCGCCCCTCACATCCTGGCTGCAGGGAATCACCCTCTGAAAGGGCAGAGTAACGCTTTAGCTACATGGGAGCTCTGACAGAACAAACCCTGATCTTCATAAGATCTTTAAGGAGCGACCGAGAGACCATCCTGGCCTGGCCAGCCTTCTCAGCAATAGAAGAGTCCTTACACCAGTCATTAGTCTCCTAATTATTCATCAGCTTGGGTGGCCTGGTGTTCCACCAGCTGCAAACATCTGCACAGCATCTGCCAGGACCCATCACTGCAGGCAGACTGAAGCAGAACTGTGCAGGCCCCTGCAGCAACCGCCCGTTCGATCCTCAGATTACAGCTCTGAAAAGCTGTTTCAGTGGGGAAAACGTCTTCCCAGCACAGCCCAGGCTGCTCTGTCTCTCCCTGGCATCTTCCTGCTAATAAACTCTCCCCATCCTTCACGCCACCACCCCACCCAGGACAGCGACGCTGCGAGTGCTCCACCAGCAGACCCAGCCGCCCCGTACCCTGTGCGGGTTGGCAAGCAGCAGGACCTGGGACACCACCGCGGGGGGCAAGAGAGGGCTGAAGGCGGGCAGCTCGGCGCCGGATGCGGGTTGTAACTTTATTTTCATGGTCTGAAAGAGAAAACAAAAGGAACGCTTTTTGGTCCATGCTCAAAAAGGGCTGGGAGTATTATCACAGAGCTGGTTAAGGACACATCAGCCCGATGATGGCGTTTCATGACACGCACGCCTTCCCACAGCCCGCTTAAGGCGCATCTTCCTAAACAGATGATTCTGTGCTGCACATACACAGGAAAAACAAGTGCCTTGCCCAGGAGGCTAAAGCAGCGTGGCTGGAGCCCTGTTTTGTCTCAAGGCCAGGGATATCCTGTGTGAAACAGGCCCCAGCGCCACAGGCACTCCCACACAAGTGATTCACCATTCAGAGACAGCGAGAAACATGACTTCCAATGAGCAAAGCAAATTCTAAGCAAGACCTGGTGAACCTTCTCCTCGTGACATTTCCACGTAGTCCCACTCTCTGCTGCTCACCACAGGCTTCTCACCTTTGGGACTGCAGCCTGGAACGCTATGTCCTTAATGGGCTGAGCTGATGTGCTCAGCATGGAAAGAACCATCACCAGCACATCTGCTCGGCCAGGAGCCGGGTCTCTGGAGAAGTGGAGCATAGCCTTGAAACCATTCCTATCGTACACTGTAAGTGGACAGATGCTGCCTGCCGGAGACAAAAGGAGTATCAGAAACAAAGCATGGATTCCCCTCCCTTTTGAGGGCAGAGCACTGAAGACAGGACAAGGAAAAGTGAAAAGGAAACACGCATGCAAACTTGTACCTCCTCCAGCAAACTCACAGCCCAAGCAGCTACAGAACCTGCCTCTGACTTATGTTTCACCTCTAAGGTAGAGAAAGGAATCTGAACAGCTAAATTAGAGATTTAGCAGCTTGGATTCCAGGTCAGCTAGAGATGTCAGCTATGGATCCAACTGACTGACAATGGGAAAAGCAAAATGTAACTCTTAGCATAGGCAAGACTTGGCCCCTTATCACCTTTGCTGGTAAATCCACACCCATCACCATCCAGCCCATCCAACATCTGGCAAGTCCTTCCCTTGAGGGACTGAAGTCAGCAGACAATGAGGTCAGAATGTCTTTGCATCCATCCTCTTGCACAAGTGGCCAAGGTGCTGCAGTCCTAGAGGGTGCCCTGTTCTGAGGCCCTGGGGTGCCATGTGCCCAGGGCAACACTCTGTGAGGCGTTTGCGGGGCTGGACCATGCAGGGTTAAACCAACAAGCAGAGGTGGAAAGAACAGCTCTGCCTTAGGAAGTGGGAAAACTCCCACTCATAGGTATGTTTTGAGCCTCTGGAGAACTGCGTGGAGTGTGATTACAGGCACTAAGGCCAGAGTTTAGGACCATATTTCAAAGATTAGCCAGGGCAGGAAAATCCTGACTTCCATAGGAGGACAAGGACACTTCCACAGTACGATCCCTAGCAGTTGCTCTAATTCCCAGATACACTAAGTCCTTCAGAGAACGGTCACTAGTTTTCTCCAGCCAACCGCCCCAGCATGAGCTCCTTTGGATTGCTCCCCTGCAAAAATCACAGAAGGGCTCTCGTAAGCGGAGCTGGGGCACAGAAATCATTGCACTTACTCAGCGTAATTGAAGTTAAAGGGACAAAAAGGTTTTCTAGAGAAGCATCGTGGGAAGCTGGAAGCAACAAGTGAGCAAGCATCGGCTCGCGGCCTAGGCTGCAGAGTGGAGTGTCTGCCACTGAGCTGTCTGGAAGATCTGGAGAGGGTGGCTTCATTGGTGATAAATCCCTGGAAAGAAAAGCATGTAGAAAGCTCATATTAACTGGGGAGACTACATCGTATATACCACCTCTGCATGTCTGTGTTCCAACCCCTCATCCCTTTTAGGTGTAAAGAAAGTACAAGCTCACACTCAGCTCTTGAGAACTTGGAAAACTGTTTCATATGGAAGAAGCTGCTGTTTCAGCATTCATTAACGGAGACTTTGATTTCTGCGACCTCATTTCATGGTTCTGGACATTTACTCTCGCCATGCACAGACTCTCTGGAGCTCTAGTCAGTGAGATTAAAGTAAGTTGTAACGCAAAGACAATGCAAGAAGCTGGGAAGCTCCAGTAAAACTTCCTGGCTTGCATGATGGCAGACCGGAGAAGCATATCATAACGGTCACCTGCTCTGAAGAGCTCTGTATGATTAATCTGGTTCACAAACTGTTTGGCATCCACTAAACCCCTGGAAACTACTTTATCACAGACTGAAGCAAGCTGGGGAATGTACTTTTTGAGTCACAAGTGATTATAATAAGACCTGACTGTAAGGTTTTTGTTCCTTTATCTCAAGATCACCTTCTTACTAACCCATGGGATTTGTCTCCCCACGTTTCTGACGCCTAGCAGGTCCTAGTGGGCAATTAATTACACACAGTGCAATTAACAGGTGCCTAATGGCACGAGGATGGAGCACTTGCCATCCCTAACCAGTCGTAGCTGAGAGGTTTTCCTGAACCTCACTGCTGTAAAACAGCATTCCTCAGCTCCAAAGGCTGCGTGTGACAGAGTTTGCTTACAGGGATAATGTGCTGGTCCTGGGTGGTGCAGGGGGCTGATCAACCAGGACCTGAGTGCCATTCTTCTCTGAGCAGCTGTCTTCCCAGCCCTCCTGCAGTCCCTGGAAAGCGCTTATGATTTCACCGTATCCGTTGTGCACATCAAGCTGAAAAATAAGACACTCCTGGCTATAGAACATGAGCACAGTCAGACCTGTTCCACTGAGAAAAGCCTCGGTTTTAGTAATGCTACTTCACACAGAAATAAATGTGAGCAATCTGGTTGCAAACCACAACTGAGAAACACGCTGCGGAGCAGGAGGATTCCAGCTTCCCTTCAGCAGAGAGTGGTGTTAGGAAAGGCTTCCGGAGAGAGCTACATCAAGAATCATTTTTCTCATACCTTCTTCGTACCTTAAGGACTGAAGTATCAGGATCACTCACCTCTGCGAAGCTAAAATCGGGGGGTGGCTTCAGTACAATGGCAGGGTCGCTGAGACCTGAGAAAGATGCCAAAAGGCCACAGATCAATTGTGGAAAGCAAGGGTTTTCCATAGGTTATGCCTTTGCTGTCTAACAGCAGCTTGAACACAGTCAAACACTGTTAAACTACACTCTGGAAAACTCAGGACACGAGCTGAAAGGTGTCATTAAAGTCACTCTCCCCTCTGTTACACGCCACAAACGCTGGTAACAGGGCTACCGCTACCGAACCGCGGGTACAAACCTAAGGACCTTAACTCCTCGTCGAGCAGACAGCTGGAGCTCGTGCTGCTGTGCCGAGAGGTGGTGGTTATGTCCCCAGATTCGTCTGTGCAAGGCTGGGGTGTCGCCTCCAGCTCGGAGAAGTCAATCAACGTATAGCTCTTCATACGCCTTGGGGCTGTCGGGCACGCTTTGGGAACAGCAGCAGGACTTACAGAGGAGCCTCCTGAAGGGAACAGTGCCTGTGTGGGTGCAGGCAGGCTTCAAGGGACCCACGGGTCAAGAACTTCAGGAATATTTTCTATCAACCACGTTTAAAAGACAATGAAAGGCTGAGAGAGTTGGTGGGTTCAGCCTGGAGCAGGGAAGGCTCCGGGGAGACCTTAGAGCCCCTTGCAGTGCCTGGGGGGGCTACAAGAAAGCTGGGGGGGCTTCTTCCAGGGGCAGGGAGTGACAGGACAAGGGGTAATGGGTTTAAATGGAAAGAGGGAGATGGAGATGAGACATCAGGAAGGAATTCTTCCCACAGAGGGTGGGGAGGCACTGGGACAGGTTGCCCAGAGAAGCTGTGGATGTCCCATCCCTGGAAGTGTCCAAGGCCAGGCTGGATGAGGCTTGGAGCAACCTGGTCCAGTGGCAGGTGTCCCTGCCCATGGCAGGGGGTGGGACTGGGGGGGCTGTAAGGTCCCTTCCCACCCAAACCACTCCATGATTCTCTGATAATAGTTTCTCTGCGTAAAAGGATTTTCTCCACATTTATTCCCCAAGCTCTTCCCTTCCAAACTGCACCCGCCCATGACCTGCAGGAGCAGAGCTGTCACGGAGCACTGTGGGACTCTTTACCTGCTGTATCAGCAGAGCCGGTGGCTGAACACCCTCCACCACCACTTTCACAGCTGGCTACGACCTGCCTGCACTGCCCGAGCGCCCGCGTGAGCCTGTCGTTGGCCTCCAGTATCTCAGCTGAGGGACGAGAAGAAACAGACCGTTAATGCTCTCACGCAGCACGCTCCAAACGGCTCACGGGAGCGGGACAGTACCCCAGAGGACTTTCCTGGAGCAAAGTCTAGTGGGGAAATGTGCCTTGAGCTCCCGACTCATTTTTAATTCCATGTCCCCAGGTGCAGCATTTTGCACATCCAGCTGCTTGACTTCAGGCCTCCCTCTCACTTATCCCTTGGAATCCCGATCCTCTCTCTAAAGGACACACAGTCCCTGTTATGCACTTGGTTGTTCTCCACAAGTTTTCCGAGCGTACTGGAGTCCCTAATCCAGCTGAAGAGCCCTGATATTCCTGGGTAGGAGGGAGACGTTGGAGGCACGAGCGTACCCCCCTTCTCAAGGTGAAGGTAGATGAACTTGGCTGCAGAGGAATCAGAGGACAACGTTAGCTCTTACCCAGAGCCTCGTCATCATCAACGGTCTCGCTGGCAAGGCGGAAGAGCAGCGGCCTGAGCTTCTCACCACGTTGGAACAGGGTCTGTGGAAGGACACGTTTCACGTCACTGTGCAGGAGATCCAGACACTCCCACACTCCTCTGTCCCCACGACCACCTGGCAAGTGGCACGGCCTCTAGCAGAAAATGCATCTCCCTCTGCCCATGTCCAGACAAAGGGTGCCAATGCTGCGTGTTGCTGCACTCCTAAATTGGGCAGAAACTGTCCAATTGGACAGGAATTTTGTCCTAATTGGACAGAAACTCAAGCTGGCACAGGAGGAGACGGTTCCACTCCAACTTCCACTACCCTGACGGGAGGGACCATTATCCACCAGGTATGTGGGAAACTCCTCCTGCTGGGGCTCTTCCCCTGGCAGAAGCCAAGCGTACCCTGGAACCCTCTTGCCCTGGGCCCTCCCTCAGCCGTGGCAGGAAAAGAACCTCTTACACAGGAAACAGAGCATTTACCTGTAGAGTCTCCTGGTCGGACTGGGATAATTCTTGTCTCTTGCAGTCTCCCAGTAATTCATCCATCTGCTTAATGTTCCCAGAAACCTCACTGATTGTAGCCACTCTTCTGGACACCTTAGCTGACTTCTCTTGTTCCTTTGATGACAAAATGAAGTGGAAGTAGATGATGACTTGGCCAATACAGCCAGTGCGCGCTTGGCCGGGTCGCTCCGGATCACGCTTGCTGGGGAGTTGCTTCCTACTCATATCCTATTGCAGACAGAGGAGGCCCAAGGCAGCACGGGCAAGGACTCACCCCCCAACAGCTCCGGAATGAGTGCTGCACCACACCTCCCTGGCAAGGGTGAAGATGGAAACTCCCACCCTTCCCAGGGCATCGGTGTGTAAGAACTCATTTCACCACCGGCACAAGGAAGGCTTCAGCACGAGAGCTGGGAGCCGGGGCTCCTGCCACGCAGAAGGGCACTCGCAAAACAACTGCAGGGGTTTCATTAAACCAGAGCAAATCTGCTGCTTACGCAGAGGAGCGGGTGCTCTCCCAGGTGGGAAATGAAAGCAGACACACCGGATGTGCACCCACACGCTGCGTGCTGAAAAGGGGTGGTTCTGTACAGATGGGGTTTATTTCCACCTGGGAACTGAGTTTCTTTTTGGAAACTTCCCATCACTAAAGCGGTACCACTGTCAGGATCCCACTGACGTGGAAGTGTCCCACCATGCAGGCTCCTGGGTCTACATATTCCCTCTTCCCGGCAATGGCATATTTTAGAGAAACAAACCAAAACTATCCCACACCATAACTTCAGAATAACAAATAGAATCATGGAACGGTTTGGGTGGGGAGTTTAAAGCCCTACCAGTGTCACCCCCTGCCACGAGCAGGGACACCTTCCACTAGACCAGGTTGCTCCAAGCCTCATCCAGCCTGGCCTTGGACACTTCCAGGGATGGGGCATCCACAGCTTCTCTGGGCAACCTGTCCCAGTGCACCCCACCCTCTGTGAGAAGAATGCCTTCCTGATGTCCCATCTCCATCTCGCTCTTCCCGTCCCCATTTCCCCCTTGTCCTGTCACTCCCTGCCCTTGGAAAAAGCCCCCCACCTCAGCTTCCTTGTAGCCCCCCCTCAGGCACTGGAAGGGGCTCTAAGGTCTCCCTGGAGCCTTCCCTTCTCCAGGCTGAACCCCCCAACTCTCCCAGCCTGTCCCCATGGCAGAGGGGCTCCAGCCCTTGGAGCATCCCCGTGGCTTCCTCTGGACTCACAGCGAGGTTCCCATTGCCACCTCTCAGTGTCTCCTTAGTGCCAGTAAGGCAGTGGGCACTATGGAGATGGGGATACGGGGGGCCCACTCCCTCAAACCGCACTGCCAGGCCCCCTCCCACCTGCGCACACTGTTTCTCGCCCGGGAGCTCCCACCTCTTTGATCATGCTCTTGATGAGGCGGTTGGCAGCCTGCAGGTCTTCGGGGCGGCTGCTCTTCAAAAGCCTTGCTAAAAGCTGTTGGGGAGGAGCATTGGGCAGCGGTCAGCAGCCGTCCCTGGGCTCTGTACTACAGACACGCATCACATAAGAGCGGCCACTGAGACACCCAGTGCTGTAATAGTCCCCGTAATCCTGGAAACATGTGGCTTCATGTCCCACAATCTAATCCAGATTATATTGCTGCCTGTCACAGCGGCCTGCACACGCCGTTGGGCTGTTTGGCATAGGAACCCTGGCTCTGCAGGACCTCTGTAGGACCTGGAGAAGCCCTCCCTCCAGAAAGTTTCGTAGAAACTCATGTTTTCTGTAAAAAAGTGCCACTTTTCGCTAAGCGAAGATTTCTGACAAAGCATCAAAGAATTCTCTAGGTGTTGTACAGCAAGACACATCAGCATTGTTCTGAAGACAGTCTGAAACAGCAAAAGCCCCGGTGACTCAGCCTGTCATCGGGCAGAACGATGAAAGCCCCACACAAACCTCCAAAACGCTCGGCGGTTTCAGCCCGTTAAGGATCCTGCCCTGCCAACCAGCAGACAAACCTGCAGTGATGTGTCCCCCAGACGTGGTTGTGTCACCGAAACACCTTCACCAGGGCTGGGACCGGGAGAAGGGCGTTTGCTGCTCGGTTGAATGTTTCCTGGGGGGGGGGGGGGGGAGGTCAGGCAGGAAAACCTTCCCGTTTACCTGTGATTTCTCTTCATCTGTGTCAAAAATCGAATCTCGAGGTCTCGGAGAAGGGGGAGGTAAAATTTTGTCTTCTGGCACTTTGGGGTCTTCTTTTACAATCCCTGGAAAGGGTAACAACATGTTTCGGAGCTGTTGGAACACCAATGCTCAACAGCGCCTTGGATTTGGCACCTGGTTCCTCCATCCCTCCCCGGGATTTCACAGAACGAGAGGGAGAAGCAAGGAGTCGCCTTAGCACACACCCAGACAAAAGACCTCCCTTTCTTCCTTGAACCAAGCACAGGCCAAATGAGGTTTCCAGGGCAGAAAATAAAATCGGGATGTGCCAAGCTCCCACTGGACGAACTGCTACACCCCCCCGGGAGCACAGCAGCGCCGACGTCCGAGCATGCCGGACTGCCACCACCGGTTCGGCCGCAGGATGCGGGGCACCAAACAAACACAACGAACCCCAGAGGGACCCCTAATGCCAACAGTGATCCCGTGGATGTGTCCCCCCGGGCAGCGCCTGCAGCAGCAGCCGACCGTGCAGGCGTCAGACGGGCAGGGGGCCCCGAGGGCTGCCCAGCAGCAGGCACCCAGCACCCCCGCTCAGCACCCCTGCCCACAGCAGCCGCTGCACGACGGAAAGGCAGCGACGGCGAGGGAGCTTTCCACGGCAGGACAGGAGTCCTCAAAGGAAGCACTTCGGCATTTCTCAGTTATGCAACTTACTGCCTGGGATATCGAGGTGGGATTGGACAAACCTCGGGATGGCAATACCAGCAGGCACTATTACGTATGATGGAATGGATGAAAAATCCAGCTCAGGATCTTCCTGAACCCATCCCTCAAAGTCCTGGAGGAGTCTTATTCCAGGGCAAAGATTGCTCTGAGCTTGTACTGTACCTTTTCCCTGCGCAAGAGCGGTGAGCACTGTGTGCGGGGGGCATAGGGCCAGCCTGATCTTTGTCTCAAAAAGGTTGCTCTTTGGTCAATCTCTGTAAACAATTCCATGCATCCTTAAGCACCCGAACAGCCCTGGAAGAGCAGCCTTTGGCCTCTCCTCCTTGCACACAGCGTTCTACCAGAAAGCTGAGTCACAGAGTAAGGACAGACATCTGTGGTCTGAAACCATGTGACCTGAAGGCTAAAAAGGAAACTGAAATAACGGAACTAAACCTTGTTTCTTCAGCATCTGATAAGCATCCCGGATTTTAACTTCCTGAGGAAACCAGACAGTCCAACTGAATATCACTTCTGTGACTCTTGACTTGACTTTTTCTGAAGACCAGGCCCCGTAGTACTGAAAACAAAAGCAAAATAAGGTAAAGTAAGACCAAAGAAAAGATTCAAACCACAGGATTAGTGCTGCCAGATCGGGCACATGGCTCTGCTCCAGCCCCAGGCTGGTCGTGTGCAGAGACCAGGTAGTAAACGGGTTCCGAACACTTCATTCATGGTGGTGTCAACTGTGTGTCCTGCACTATCAGAAGCCGGTACAGCCATGGCTGTAAACACAAGGAAGGCTGTTCAGGGCAGGATAATGACATAAATATGGTATGGAGGTCAAAATGAAACATTTCAGACCTTCTCCGATTGGTCGCTGAATCCAAACCCAAAAGTAAGTTACTTTATTTTAGTGAAAACAGCTCTGTGCTTGACTTGAATGCTTCCCTTTTGCGCCCACCACGCAAGTAGCGCAGCTGGCCTCGGCCAGAGCCAGGCAAGTGACAACTGAACTGAGCCAGAAACGAACGGTCTTGGCTTTCTGCAGCATCTGGGCATTTTCTCTGCTTTCTCTCATTATTGCCCATGAGCACCCACTTTACTGCAGCATAAAAATATTGGGCAGAATGATAAAAGCCCCACACAAACCTCCAAAACGCTCGGCGGTTTAGGCGCATTAAGGATCCTGCCCTGCCAACCAGCAGACAAACCTGCAGCAATGTGTGCCCCAGATGTGGTTGTGTCACTGAAACACTTTCACCAGGGCTGGGACCGGGAGAAGGGTGTTTGCTGCTCGGTTGGACGTTCCTCCAAAAGCCGCTTTTGGCGCCTCTGCCACCAAGATGACGTAACGGAAAACGAACCCTGTGCAAGCTGTGGGTATGTGCAGGGCACCAAAGGGGACTCAGTTACCGGGCTGCTGGGAAGGGTGTTTCAGCGAGCCCCATGCCTGCTACTTGCTGCGGAGAGGAGCAAGGCGTTACGGGTTTTTACTGATTAAACGGGTTTTCGTCGTGCGAGGCACTGCCGGGGGCCCAGGGCATCCACCCTGAACTCCCCGCTCACGTAGCTACTCCAACTCAACTTCCCATTTCCGACCGCTGCTTCTCTTCCCAGGAGGCAGCAGCTGCCACCAGAGCCCAGTGCTCCAGAGCGGGGAGCGGGAAGGAGTGTGGAGTGGATATACTGCGGGGCAGGAAGCGGGGCGGCAGGAAGGGGCTCTGCAGCTTGCGCGGGCGTAGAGCCGACCCCTTCCCGACGCAGGGCTGTCGCTGCCTGGGCCTGGGAGCCCTCTCCCCACCTTCCAGGACCCCAAAGGGGCTGCATGAATGCACGACCATCGGAGCTGCTGAAGTCCAGCCCCGGCCCCCCAGCCTGAGCTGATCCTGCCCCACAAAGAGGCCCAAACCCAGACCAGCCTTGCCAGGGGAAAGCAAGGAGAGCGGCCTGGGCACCAGTTGGAGGACATGAGAGCGTGGAAGAAGCTCTGGGCGGCTCCTGGCATCTCTGTCCTCTGCCACTGCCCCAGCCAAAGTTTTGTAAATCTGAGAGGCAAAAGGGCCACAGGCTGAGGGGTCACAGGAACAATTTCAAGCTCCTCCTGAGCCCCTGACTAATTCCAGCAGAGTTGGGAGAAACCACAAGGAAAAAGCTTTTCCCAGAAAGAGACCCTGGCTTCCACCCTTCACAGGGGGACTCACACCAGTCCTTGTGCTTGGAGGCTCAGAACACAAATTCTGCTCTATTCTACGAGAGATGAATTCTGTTAATTCTAAGTTTTCATATCCAGCACGACATAAACCGTGTGTGCCCCCACCCCCGGCTTTCTCCCACGTAACCACGACCCCCTACCTTTGGGGAAAGCACTTTAACCAGCTCGTTCAGAAACCTGAATTTCGCGATCTCACTGTGAAATCTCTCACCGCAGTTATTCACGCAGGTCTCCAGCACCTGCGGAAAAGAAACCAGGACCAAACAGGAACCGCACACACAAGCCTTGGGGCGTTTTGCCATTAGAATACTAAGTCTAAGAACTTTCTGGCACTGCATTCACAAATACAAGACACTGAGGAAGTTGTGCAGCAAGAACATCTATTTTCCCTTCACCCAACCTGCTTAAGCAGCTCGTTTAACATCGGCTCTGTCCTACCCCTCCCTAAGAACCTTTGGACCTACAACCCCATGGTGGGACCAGAGGTCCTGCAGCCCACCGAAACACCTCAGGGAGGGAACAAGAGCGGTTACTACCTCCGTTATACCCTGGTTGCTGTAGCCCTTGTGCCACAGAAAGTTAAAAGGGAGAGACATCTAAGAGAAAAAGAAGACAGCTGCACTGTCTCTCCCCCCAAGCTGTTTCCAAGGTTTCCTGCCTCTCTGCACGTGGATGGAAGCACTTACTGTGAGAGCATGGAGAGCTTCCACCTCCTGAGGTGACTGTATTTTATGTGCCAGCAGCCTCGGTGCAAGAGATGGGCTGGGGAGCAGCAAAAACAAGTCAGACAAGGCCAGAGTTCCCAAGAAGAACAAGCGCTGCTGGTTGTGCTCTGCCACGAGTGACTGCCGGCAGCACGACCTGCTACACCGGACACCCCTCGTGCCCGGCCAGGGCACACACCCAGGCATGAGGGGCAAGAGATGAGTCATGGAATCACAGAATGGTTTGGGTTGAAGGGACCTTAAAGCCCTCCCAATCCTACCCCCTGCCATGGGCAGGGACACCTTCCACTAGACCAGGTTGCTCCAAGCTTCATCCAGCCTGGCCTTGGACACTTCCAGGGATGGGGCATCCACAGATTCTCTGAGCAACCTGAGCAGCTTGTGCAATCCCGCTGCTGCCCTCCGGCCGTGCCCAGGGACTGTGCCCTCGGAAGGAGCCTGCTGGGACAGGCTGAGGGCTCTCCCTGGGCAAGTGCCAGGAGGACTGGCTCTCTGGGGTCACAGGAGCTCTGACGCCCAGCCCGAGCATCACCAGATGCTGCCGCACACGCTGCTGTTGGACTGTGGGCTCTGGGCCCCAGGCTCTGCTCCAAGAGACAGCGCTAAGCTCTGGCAGGTCATTCCCTTAATTAGTTCCTGCTCCTTCCCACAGAGCCCAGACTGCCAGCTGGAAGCTGAGGAAGTCCCAGCAGGGATCTCCCACCTCTCTGAAAGGAAAAGCGGTGGCGGAACTACCAGGGCTTCCCTGGAGAACCCCCAGCAGGTATCGCAGCCCCTGTCCCCGGGGGGTGGCAAGACCAGAGCAGCAGGACCTGCTGCCTCGGGGGCTGCAGGCATGGACATCACAGCCCGCTCCTGGACATCAGCCCCGTCAGCATATGCCTCTCTGCAGTGCATTTACCCCTTATTGTAGGGCACTCTAGGGACCAGCAAAGTCCAGCAAGCGTTCCCATGCCTCTCCAGGCTCCCCACACCGCAGCTTCCAGCTCCCATTGCCCCCCAACCCCCGCCACCCCAAGAGCAGCTCAAAGTCTGACAAACAGCCCAGAGCAAACACAAAGAGCCATCTGTCTGTCTTACCCTTCTGCGTCGGTGTTCACCTGGTCGCAGAACTGCTGGATGCATTCCCAGTTTTCCTCGGGGATACTTGGGTCAGTGGCTTTATCTTTCACAGGAAAAAAAAAACCAGTAATAAAGAAACCCCAGCCCGGGTGAGAGGCACAACTGGGTAGCACAAGGCAGGAAGCGGCTCAGCTACCGGCTGCTTTAGGGCTTTTGGCAAAGGAGGCAGAAACGGGAGACGTAGGATGAGCAGGAAACAGCTGTTCCTAAAATCTGCTTAAAAACAGAGAGCACCCACTCTCAAAGAGCCAAAGTCGGGCACAAAGTGAGGTGTTGAAAGCAGCCACTGCAAACCCTGCCGTGCTGGAACACAGGCACAGCTCAGCTTTTAGCAAAGGGGCCGTGCGAGCACCCACCCCACCGCTCGGCCTGCACGGCTGAACCAAGGAAGAGTCTTTTAAAGCCTTATCCACTCCCCAGAGCAGCGCAGAAACAGCCTGGGCAGGGCTGGGGCTGAGGACAGGAGAGATGGGGAGATGTCAGGTTCAGGTGACACCCACAATCACCCTAAAAATGTTCCACGGGGGAGATGGCCCCTTCCCCACAGAACTGAAGCTGCTCCAGAGCCCACCCATTTGGGACCGTG